CGAAACGCGGACATCCGGTGAGAAGCAAAGCAAAAGCAAACAAAGACCGCTCAAGAGAAACAAAACCACGAAAACCAAGAAAAGTCGGGCCGTACCATCTGTCCATCCAGCGATCAAAGCAAGTCGTAAGCAAGCACAGGTCAAGCTGGGGCCGAGGGGGCGCTACTCCCCTTGCTGGCCGAGGCCAGAGCCGCCGCGGGGCGAGGGCCCAAGGAACCCAGACCAACAGCGACCCGGGCCACTGCCAACCCCCTGCGGGGCCAATCCTGCAGACAATCCATCCAGTAAGCAAGGCAAGTCCAGGTCAAACGCGCGTCAAGCTGGGGCCGAGGGGGCGCTACTCCCCTTACTGGCCGAAGTCACAGCCGCCGCACAGCCGGAGCCAGATGACCCCGGCTAAGCAGCAGCTCTGACCACGGTCAGCCCCCTGCGGGGACTTTAGCGACTGGTTGACTGATTTGATTCCCGAAAATTAGAGTGACTCGTATGATTGAGTCGATTGAATGGAAAGTTCAAATAAGTTTTAGTTGATGAAAAATAATGACACCAACTGATGACATCAAAGATCACAAAACTACACTGAAAACTGCTTGTCAATTGTCATCACAACTGCAATATGGGGTAGATGGCCAAATAAAGAACAGGGCCTAAACATGAACAGCCAACTTTGACTTTCAACTGCAATAACTCATAACTGCTCCAATCCTGGTGATAGAACCTGGCGATGCACCTACCTACCTTTCTGCACTCAGCAGGAAACGTTTTTTTTTAATGCAGATGATAAAGTGCAAGGCCCTATATACTAATAAAGTGTGATTAATTAATAATTCACATCTCCACATCTCCTCAGAAACAACCCACTGAACTCTATAAATATCTGAAACCCCTACAAAAATAACTGAAACAAAAGCGCCGTTTTCGTCTCGCTAATTACGTTTACGTATACGAATTAATAGCTAATTTGCTGCATTGTTTAAATTGCAGCAGAACGTTTGTTGATCCTTTTCTCCTGAGAGCCTAAGCATAACATATTTAATATATTTCATTTTCCTTAAAATATTTTACCGAATATTATTAAGTGGTTTTATTTCAAATGAAATAATAATTAAAACGAAATTGGTGTTGTACAACCGATTTATTTTATGATGATCTACCATAGTACATGATAATCAATGACGTCATCTTACAAAAAATCAAAACACGTAGAATAAGGATTTATAAAAGCTTAGCATACTTATTGGCAAAACCAAGGCCCTAAATACAGGCAAAACGTTTTCTTTTATTCACAGTCGCACCGTGCCGTTTTCGCGTTTTAATTTTCTTTGTTCCTACTTCCTTTGTCCTTATCTTATCCTGTGGTTCCAGAGTCCCTGTCCTCTCCATTTTCTTTTAAATATATTTTTAATCCTCATCCTTATCCCCCAGTCCTAACAGTTTCAAATTGTATTGCAATTAAATGTTTTGAATTCTTCACATAGGTACATACCTAACATTGACATGCCACGTCCAGAGTCGTGGACCGCTAAATACTTCAAATCTCTTCCTTCCCAATCTGACAACATCCCACGCTTCAAATGCACATTGTGTGGAAAGATTTTTCAGGCTGCCCGTCAGTCTCTGTCTAACTGAAACCGTCACATGCAGGTAAGATATTTATTTCTATTTCCCTATGGTTAATATGTTATTGATGTATATTATCCATTAAAATAGACGTGGTGTAGGGTAAATTGTCCAAATCACGAACACTGCCAAAATCCGAGCAGCCAACTTTCAACCGGAATATCTGATATATAGTGTAAATGGAGTTGGAATATGGCCAAAATTAAATTGACAACCTTTAGGTGAAAGGTGGTGATTTGGGTTAAGGGGCGAGTCAACTACTGGGTTATTCTGCACCCATTAAATGAAACTTCTGCTCCAATTCTACCCATTGAACCTCAATATCATGATCCACCTGTCCATCACTAGGTATCCATCCTTATTCCATAGAAACTTTGAATGGCATGACAATTTATAATTTTTAATGACAATATTTTTATGTTTCTTCTGTGGGTAGGTAGGAAGGTAGGTAGGTAGGTACACCAGACTGCTATGGACACTTTTCCAAGTTGGTGGGGCAAAAAACCTAATGTATGTGTTGGTTTGAGTCGTTTGATTGAGTTGATTGATTCCTTTCATTGTCGCGTTTGAGTCGATTGAATCAATTCCCGAAAACTGCTCTGACTTGATTGATTTGATTGGTTTCCCAAAATTGTCGTGATTGAATTGATTGCTATTGATTGAGTCGTATACAACCCTGCCTACAATGGCCACTAAGGGCCCTCATGACGACCGCTGAGGGTCCCACAGAGACTCCAGGGCCCCAAGGAGACTCCAGGGGCCACGCTGGCCTCTGAGGGCCCCTATGACGGCCTCTGAGGGCCCTTACGATGATCTCTGAGGGCTCTCACGACCAGTGTCCAAAAATGTGTAGATGTGGGTGGGAAACGACATCCAAATGAAAATCATTTTCCACTCTCACCTCCAGTTTTCAAGCCCAATTTTCTACTCCCAATTCCACCGAGGAGCAATTGCGCGAATGGTTGTTTTGCATCCGTCACAATTGTAGATAGATTAATGTTTTTGATCATTTTCCCACTCTTTTTGGGCCTTACCTGACAGACAATTTTTCACTCTCATCTTTTTTTGGTCAGCAATTTTCCCCTCTGACACCCAAGCAAAAATATGATTTTGGGACACTGCTCACGACGAACTCTGTCCCCTGGGGCCCTATAACGACCACTAAGGGCCCTCATGACGACCGCTGAGCGTCCCACAGGACTCCAGGGGCCCCACTGGCCTCTGAGGGCCTCTACAGCGGTCTCTGAGGGCCCTCGTGACGGCCCTAGACCCAACTCAAGTCTGAGGGCCCATCTGGCTTCAGACGGTCCAGCGACGGCCTCTGAGGGCCCCAACACAACCAGGCTGCAGGGGCTATGCTGGCATCTGAGGGCCCTGCAACGGTCTATTGAGGGCCCTAACAACGATGGCCTCTAGCGGTCTTACCAATGCCTCTGAGAGCCCTGCAAAGGTATCTGAGGGCCCATAAAGATCCTCAATATGGCCAAGGACCCTCATGACGACCTCTGATGATCCTTTCGAGGGCTTCTAAGGGCCCTCACAACAACTTCTGAGGACCCCAGGACGGTCCCTGAGGGGCTGAAGGCCCTGACGAGACCCCCACGATGGTCTCTAAGACCCAACGCAAGCTCCAAAGGCCCACACTGGCGTCTGATGGCCCCACGACGTCTGATGGCCCCACGACTGCCTGCGTCGAGGCTCTGAGGGCCTCGACGCAGGCAGGCTCCAGGGGCCATGCTGACCTCTGAGGGCCCTCTTGACGGCTTCTAGGGCCTAACGAAGGCTTCAAGGGCCAACGCTGGCCTCTGAAGAACCCTACGTTAGGGCCTTGCCTACGACGGCCTCGGAGGGTCTCAACTCAACGCAGGCAGGTGCCAGGAGACATGCTTGCCTCTGAGGGCCCCGCAGAGTTCAGATTCAGAGGACCCAACGACCTTTGTGGACCTTACGAAATACGAAGGTCTCCGAGAGCTCACGCAGGCTCCTGGAGTTCCACACTGATTCTCAGGCCCCATGTCGACTTGTTGAGGCACTTTATCTGCTCTTGGTGCCCCGTCGCCGGCCTCTGAGAGTCTCAATGTCGGAACTTATGGGGCCATGTGCCCTACACCGGCTTTTATGACCCCTATATCGACTCTTGGGACTCATGACCCATGAAATGTGGGTCTAAGCGGCTTCTAAGAATCCCCATGCTGGTTCTAGAAGCCGCCAGCCGAATATTAGGGCTCACACGCGAGCTCCTGGGACCCCGTGCACACCCCAGGGGTCTACCTGCCTCTAAGACCCCACACATACTTTTGGGGCTCAAAGGCTTGCCCCTGAAGGCCCCACTGAGACCCCTTTCCTCTCTTCAGTCCTCCATACCGGCTCTTTAGGCTAAACATCGGCTCCTGTGGCCTCCATCCCGGCTTTGGAGGGCCTCCATACAGGCTTTTGGGGTCCGATGCCGGTTTCTGGGAGCCCTCAAAAGACTTTCGAGGCTATACTGTCTTCTGAAACCTTTCAGCAACTTTCAAGGGACCGACCCTGATCGGAGGGCTCATTCAGTCTGGGGAGTCATGTAGGTCTCTGGAGGAGTCTCTATGTGGTCGGTTTCCAAGGGGCTTCTGACAGTCTTCTTGGAACGGTCTCGTAAGGCCCTCAATGGTCCACTGCGGATCCAGAAAAGTGTTTTGAGACGCTGCGGGCGGTGGCTAGAGTAAAAGATTAGCCGATGAAGAACTAGCTGCATTTGCTTCTTAATGCTTTCATTATTTGAGATAGGTTAGTACACTGCAATTTCAAACCTTTTGCAGAACTTGTGTGTATAGGGATAGTTTTCCAAAATCTTCGTTTTTCATAAATTTAATAATAATCACTAAAAAAACTGAAAGGGGGCCCAAAACTTCCAGAGGGGCCCCTTGAGAAAACTTTGCACCCCCATCCAAAATTACCTTCCGCCGCCACTGTTATAATATATGGAAAAGACAGTGTACGACGTAAGTCGATGTGCCACGGAACAAGCACTATACGCGCGCTGTGGTTACCAAAATTATTAAATACAGTTACCTACATATGACGTCTAAGACCATTGTGGTGCGCGTACATGAATGGGGCATAAATATGAGAGCGACAACCGTAAAGGTGTCAACAATGAACCACGGACACTAAAAACCGAAGGCATTTTAGTTGACCTCACGCACTCGGGGTTGGGTCTGTCCCATGTTCTCTGGCCAGGGGTGGGGGTGGGGGTGGGGGTTGGGGTGGGGGTGGCTGAACCGGCGCCGTGTGAGTGAACCCCGCCGTCCGACGTGTGACGTCACGGGGCCCGGCGGCGCCGATTGGCGGCTCGTCGGTGTCGTCGGCGCGCCGGTCGGCGGCGGCGCCGGCCCACCTCACTCGCCTCCCGGTCCGCCGCACCGCGCGAAGCGACGCCAACAGTGCGCAGAGGACTGAGCGACGGCGCCGACGCATACCGCACGCGCGCCGAGCCGCCGACACCGACACTGCCGACAGCACCAGGTGAGGAGCTGAGCGCGGGTCCAACAGCACCTGCAGCTCAACCAGCTGTTTCGTGGAGTAATACCTGATTTTCATGTCATGCATTTCGATGTTAGAAGTCAAATTTTGTTAATAGCAAAACGCAGGGATTCAAATAGATCTGTTCTTTGTTGCACCAAATCACCAAATCCAGAGACTCGGTGTTGTACAAGGGGATCAAAGTTACATATACGGGGACAAGACTGAAGTTTATTTAAATTCCCACGACAAGTATCCCTGATGGAAAGTTCGAATAGTGTCGACTGTCGAGGAGGATGGTGGGTTAACAGATGTTTTAATATTTGCAGTATTTTAACCTTCGCATGTGAAAGGGGGGGTTGGATAGACCCCCTCCATCCCCATGGCTTTTCGCGAATAACTCGCACAAAAAGCGGCCGATCCCGGCGAAACTTTCAGTACCCTCGAGTTGATCAATTTCACACCTACTCTGAGAATTTCATGACCCTGACTCAAGTGACCTTTGACCTGTGACCTATTTGTCGAGGCCATGTTTGGCCGGAATCGCGATTCGGCGAATGTCGGCTCGCATTAGCCGCGCGTTTGCAAGCTTTTCGTGATTTCAAACGTTCAAACATGTGATTTGATGTTGCTCCCATGCATAAGGGTAGATGTCAAGGTCACCTGAAGCTCAGGTCAGGTCATCCGAAATCACTTTCATGCCAATTCATTAACTTTTTTAAGGTGGGAGGGTCCCTTTAAGACCACTCAAGTCACAAAGCTGGTTGCAGGAGGTTATATTGATAGCCGGTCCCGTAGCTCAGTTGGTAGAGCGTTGGACTCCGCGTGGTGAGAGCACGCGTTCCCGGTTATAACAGTCCGGGTTCGAAGCACGATGGGCGCTTGACATTTACGTATGGGCCTCCTGACAGGTATGGTTGCGGTTGGTGGCAGGCCGTAGCCAGGCGAAGTCAGTGAGGGGGCCGGCCGTGCGCGGCTATGTGCGCATGTTAAATTTTGGACTCTAAATTCTGCCATAGAACCGGAATTGCGTGATCGGAGGGTAGAGGGCAGGGTCACCGCAACAAGCTTCGCTTAGCGGTGGATCTGTCCTTGTGAATCCTTCCTATCAAAAGGTTCGGAGTAAATTTATTAAAAAAAAAATCATTCAGTTCGACATCACTGTCAGCCCATGTCCTTTTGAGTTCATTGGCGACGAATCCAACTAGCTTGCCCAATGGGATCTGGAGTTATTGACGAAGTACTCCAATGACCTTAGTGACGCCATATGTGACGTCAGGTAAAGTTTATCATGCAAAAGCTAAGCTTTGGAGCCTGCAAGCGGTATGGTGCCGTCTATTGATAACTAAACGCTGAAGCTTCGGTTTTGTCCTCATCACTGAAAGTTGAAACGCGTGCGGCGCGATGTAATCAGGTGACAGGCCAGTGTTAAGGTACTGCTCAAGCCATGTGTTCAGGTGTTGCTGGACAAAGTGTAAAGTGTATCGGAAGATAAAGAGCTATTTCTTCGTGTTTTTTTGTTGTTTGGTTTTACGTCTTAATGGAAGTAAAAATGTTCGATAGAATGCTTTCCGAAAGCAATTCAAGCTTTTATATGTTGCCGGCAGCACTGTTTTTGGTGGCAATTCACAGCATTTCCAATGAGAATGTGTGATACTAAAGTGATACCACATGCTGCTTGATTGCTTTGAATGGAGTAATTCGTGTAAAATATCGGCATTAGTATTCCGTTCTTGAAAAGGAGATTGTAAAAATATAGGGGCATTCCACGTCAAATCAAACACCGAAATCCGTCATCCCCTTCGATTTTTCTGAAAATTTGTAGGCAGACTGGGCATGGTTCAAAACTGAGTTACGTATAATATTTTCGAAATTTGATAACGTATCGCTGAGATATAGGTCATCGAATATAGCGAAAAATGCCACACATCAATTTTTTAAATGGCTATAACTCTGGTTCCTTTTCTGGTATCAAAATGGCATTAACAGGGTCTTGTAGGCAATTGATAAGGCTTTGATTTTTAATTATAAAATTAAATTGAAGTGACCTTGAAATGCATTTGACCTTGAATTAAAACAGAAAAATTTAAATAGCAAAAAACACGTCACTTTCGATTTGGGTAATTTTTACATATTATGTCCGTCACAATGTTCCTAACCATCTGTGAAAAAATTGGAGTGGGCCATTCATAACTTTCGCGGCAAACGCCGTTTTCATGCATCAACATCACGCAACCGCGCGTGACCTTGAAAGACAGAGTCAAGACATGCTTGCTTGTGTACACTTTCTGAAATGAATGATTGCTGATTAGTGATATCCCAAACTCTTCGAGAATGGAAATGCATAGTCATCGTAGCAGACTTGTGCCGGGATCAAAAATCAAGATCCAGGATCCTCAAGGTCCCACGGCAAATTCAATTTTTAGAATCCAAGGTTTCCAAGGTCCAACGGCAAATTCAATTCCTAGAATCCAAGGTTTCCAAGGTCCCACGGCAAATTCAATTTCTAGAATCAAGGTTTCCAAGGTCCCACGGCAAATTCAATTTCTAGAATCCAAGGTTTCCAAGGTCCCACGGCAAATTCAATTTCTAGAATCCAAGGTTTCCAAGGTCCCATAGCAAGTATACTTTGCAGGGTCCACAGTCCCCAAGGTCCCACGACAAGAATGCATTGCAGGATCCACAGTCCCCAAGGTCCCACGACAAGAATGCATTGCAGGATCCACAGTCCCTAGGGTCCCACGACAAGTGTGAATTTCAGGATCCACAGTCCCCAAGGTCCCATGACAAGTACACACTTCAGAGTTCAGGGTCCACAGTCCTCAAGGTCCCACGGCAAGAATACATCTCAGGATCCAAAGTATTCATGGTCCCACAACAAGAACTTAAACAAACTAACATTCTGATGAGCAGACTTACTTCTAAATATTCTGCCAACGGATGCCCAGAAACATTGAAAGGGGCAGAACCTATGCAAACCTGTGGACTGTGGTGGTTTTATCGTTAACCAACATAGGTAGGGGGAGCTTCAACACAAGTTAAAAATGAATCATAATATCAATATCTCCTTCTTTAACCTGACAAATTCATAAAAAAATATAGGTAGGTAATAGGTACCTTGCAATTTGTATTGTCATGTCCCTTTCAATTCAATCTTACCTTATCAGTAGGCATGTAGGACAGCACCTTACAGCTATTGAAGACAGACATTCAAGTATTCTTTCAGGCAATATAAAAAAAACCAGAAATAAAACCTACAGGCTTCATAGAAATGGAAAAGTTGAATTGGATAGGTATATGCTTTCGATTTTCTGCACATTCAGTTACATAATGCCTAGGATAAAAAGTAAAATATGTTCTAAGTCTTGTTTGCGCGAGCGCTCACAGAAAAACTGATCGACTAAGCCAATAGAATTCGAGTATCAGCGAGCGTAAACCTTACTTACTGTTCATTCACATTAGATTGAAGGCTCTGAACAAAATTCCATCTGACAATTTTTTCGTCAGCCGGTTATTCGTCGGCAAATTTTCGTCTGACTTTTTCGTCTTGCATTTTTTCGTCTGTTCGAATTAATTTGGCGCATTTTTCGTCTGAGTATATTTCTGTCCGGCATTTTTTCGTCTGGACGAGGCGGAAAATGTCCTTATGAAAATAATGCGCGGACTTAAAAATGCACAGACGAACAAATGCATAGACGAAAGTCTGCGGACGAAAATCTGCAGACGAAAAATTGTCCGACGAAAACCTGCTAAACGAAAAAGTTGAACTGTCATGGAATCATTGCTTATATAGCTTGACACTTACTTGGTCAGTGGGTAGCTTCCAAGTAGCTTCAAGCCCGGCATATCACAACCCAGAAAATATGTGAGGTGAGATTAGAAAAGAACTTTCCAAACCACCACTGTCCACTGTTTGACAGTTTCATAATCCATGTTCATTGATAATGTAAAAAGCTACCAAGTCTCTTGTTCCAGTTCTGCCTCACAGCCATGGCAACGATTTTGCTCTATAGGTATATGTCTACACAGTCTGGTTCGTTCTCTTCGTGTAGCTATCTAGCCCCTTGCAGCTGGTCGCTCAACCATAGATATTTATTGAAGTGCTTACAGACAAAACCTAGTGCAGGGTCCTTAGTGGCCCATGTGCAACATAAACCTCATGGTCCAGCTTCCAGGATTCTTGAGGTCCCTCAACAAAATGATGGTGTAGGTCCAGACCGTTCTCCTAAGATCCCATGACAAATAATAAAACTGGTACTGAAGGTCTGCATTCTGCAGGGTCTTGCAGCATACCAAAATTTTGAGGTCCTAACCCCTGGGTTTCCATGGTTTTAGGGCATATGAAATGTTGAGGTCCTGGGTTTCTAAGGTCTCATGTCACATGAAATGTTGATGTCCTGGGATTCCAAGGTCTCACGGCATATGCAAATGTTGAGGTCCTGGGATTCCAAGGTCTCGCGACATATGCAAATGTTGAGGTCCTGGGATTCCAAGGTCTCGCGGCATATGGATGTTTTAAGGTCCTGGGATTCCAAGGTCTCGCGGCATATGGATGTTTTAAGGTCCTGGGTTTCCAAGGTCTCGCGACAAAAATGACAATGCAAGGTCCAGGATCCATCAAGGTCCCAGACCTTGGACTCTGCGAACCCTGGATCTCGGATCTTTTTGGGACCTTGGCACAAGTCTGCATCGTAGTCAAGCATTCACGTTCCATAGTAAAAGTGTCTCAGGCAAACGGTATTTTGCGGTGAATTTTGAGCCGTGTGGAAATGCATCATGAAGTAAATTCAACGAAAACATTATCACGCAACGATATCTTCACGTCTTTTGATCTTCACTATACGAAAGAACATACATTTTTTAGTATGTATGGGGAATTTCTAGTTAATCCAATAATAAATATGGCAGTTAGAGGCCTGCTAAGAGTAACATGTCGCCGGCTAAAGCGGGCTCGGCCGATGCGGGAAAGGCAGCAATCACAATTTTGTGTTTACACGTTCATA